TCTCTTAGCATTTCTCTCTTGGAGGTTTTGTTTTTGTTGGCCTGTTAGGTATATCAGGAGCCCTCCCCTGCCGGGACTGCCCTAACCGAGTTTTTGTTTGTTTGTTTGTATTCCCTTCGAATCCCGTTTTCGTTGGTGGTATTTTGGGGGGTTGTTTCAGAGAGCCTTTGACTTGCCCTAGCTGAGACTTGTGGACTCGCTGTAGCGAGACCTGAGAGCCCTTCGTGGTGTATTCAATGCAGCGCCATCCCCGGATGGAGGGGCTGCGGAGTGGCTGCGTAGAGTGTTGGCAGTCTGAGTCGGGGTCGGGAGCACACAAGACTAACCGACTTGAGCTGTGTGCTCCCGACCCTTGCGCTGTGTTTCGGCTTCGGCCCCCGGCTCTCGCAGCCCACAGTGTAATCTAAGTCAGTCAGTCAGTCAGTCAGTCAGTCAGTCAGTCAGTCAGTCAGTCAGTCAGTCATACATACATACATACATACATACATACATCAGCACTGCACCGCCCATCATACTGCATGCCGTACATAGGTCATGTTACATCACACCTCATCCCCACATTGCCATCATGTCGTACTTTAGCAATGTGCAGCCATTGTCCGAATGCGAACTAACAAACAGTCCAATATGTCAGTCCAGATGTATGTCATACATACATATTTGTCCAACAACCTTAGCTTCTATTAAATGTCCTGATGATATCACAGTGTTGTGCAGGAGGCATTCCTCAGAAGTTGGAGTGCAGCACTCCTCCACTACTGTAGTAATTGCAAACTGGTGATATACCAATTCCCAAACAGGCATCCGGCCCGCCTGCCCACCCAAAAGAAGACAGTTCCATTTGTGTATCAATCAGGACCGCACCAGGTCCCAGCGGTAAAGAAAACTACACCATGCATATGTCAAACTCGTTGCTTCACTCCATAGGCGAATTTGATGAGGGGGTTGTGGCTCAAAATATCTGGTGCTTTGAATTGGTGGCAGCCAACTAGTTGATCAGCATGCGGTGGTGGGGGATTGTCCCGGGGATCACGATAAGGCCCTATCGTTGCGTGCAGCACATGTGTACACACCCTTCCCACTCCTATTGTGGCAAAGCAGACAATGACCCGTTGCGAGATCGCACGGCAATAGGTAACAAAGCTGTTGATTCCTTGCGCGATAGGTTGTGTTGTGCTGTGCGGGGTGAAGAGGTCACAACAATGTGGCAAGTGGAAACAACTCCATGCGCCATCATGGCGTGATGCATGTGCATACGTACGTACGTACGTATGTACGTACGTATACAAACAAAGGCAGGCTCCTTTGCCGTAGTAACGAGGCCAGCAGCAGTAGTAGTAGTCGTGATGCCAACAAAACTTCAAAAAACACATTTAATTTAAGAAAACCTGACGCAAAAATCAGCCTTTTGCATTACGCCGCACGCCATCATCATACACACGCACCGCCGTGCTGCTGACGATACTGTCGTGTGTATATCGCCGCTGATCATTTCGTCAGCCGACCAGTAGCAGCTAGCGCCAGTACCAGCATCACCAGGTGAGGATTTAAGAAAAGAGAAAAGAACACGCATTATTAGGTATTCGTTAGCTTTCATTTGAATAACTTTCGATGAGTTTTTTTTACTGTGTCCCTTTTCATACTGAGAGTGCTAAGATGAGCCACAGCAGAAGACAGCAACTGTGCTTGGAGCTGCTGTGCAGTGTCAGGGTACCGGTACATAAAGAAAACCAAATCGCAAATTGCAACTCCAACCCACTCCACCCTACACAACCAACCTACGCAACACCCCCACCAAAACCATCAACCATCAGTCCGTTGCATTCCTAGGAAACCGATAAAGAACAAATAAAGGCCTCCTGTTGTGCCCCACACAAGCACTAAAAGGAGACGCGGGTAAACCCCAAAGAACCAAACTGGCGTGTCCCCCATCTTGCTCCAGTGGGACATCCTGTCAAAGGACAAATCGTTACCGTAACGATAATAAGCTGCCTTGGAGCTCCTAGGCTTATGTACATTTCATTAGAGACGTGGACAGCTCATCGTGCCTCAACAGCTCCCGCCCGTGTCCCAACCACATTTCCCGCCGCGGGCCGTCAGCAATACACCTTTTTCTAATGTGACACCTGCAAAACACCCACAAATATCGCAAATCCCAGGTACGACGCACATTCAAGGCCTTCACATCCGTCATCGTACCACTGCACACACCGGCTCCTGGACACCGGCCGACAGCCAGGCGGTCACCACCAACATCCCGAATCGTTGACTTGTGGAAATCGACGCGGTACGGGGGTGTGCGAGATCGAGTAGGGAGGTGGGGAGGAGCAGGAGACCGCGATGGTGTGACGTGTCTGCAACCGCTTCCACAGCGGCAGCTACAAGCCGCGTCTACAGCTGCCAGGCGCATCTACACGTCATCAGCATCATATTCCTGTGGGGATGTATCATGGGGTACCTGAAGACGGAAACACGCACCTCTGTATACCGGTGAGAGGGGAGAAGACCTCTGTGATGGTGTTGCGGTGCAGCAGCACACAGCACAGCACAGCACAGTGAGGAACAGCACAGCACATTGCAGCACAGTGCACATGAGGCAAAACCGCAGCCTACCAGCTGCTGCCAGCGTGCCTTACCTCCATCAACGTTTCTTAGTCAATACATATACACACACACGCAACCCAACAATAGCAACAGCCATAAGGCCCATAGCACGCAACGCAACGCAGCTCAGGGTCACCAATCCGCCTTGGGGTGGGGAGTGTGGTATTACTACGTTGGGGGGGAAACCGGTGTGTGAGCCCTTCGCTTGCCATATCAGATACGCCCAACCTTACAAACCCCTAAACAAACCGTTTTTCCCCCCCCCAAAAAAAAGCCCTAAGCCCTTTCCCTCCCTGCCCCTCCTACCACTCCGCCTGCTATGCCTCACCTGCCAGTCAGCGGAAAATCAGAGATTAGAGAATAATTTGCAATACGACCAGATTTGCAGCACAGCACTTTGTAATAAGTCATCGTCAGTTCAACCCCAACCGTGTGTTGGGGGGGGGAGGGGCGCCCAAATTAGCGCTAGAGAGCCAAAGAGAGACAGAAGAAAAGAGAACGAAAGAAACCCAAAGGACCGACAAAACCGATTTCATGACGCACGGACACACGGCACGCAACCGAAAAAAAAGTTCAGAGCTCAGGCTTTTGACCCAATACCAACGTAAAAACAACACCGCGCGCGCGTGTGTGTGTGTGTGTGCGCCGCGGGGGGAAATCCGAGTGCAGGGAAAAGCAAAGGGGAGCACAGGGAAGGGCTACGGAAGGGCTACTCAAGGGGCAAAAGGTGCTTCGAGGGAAAACACGAGAGGTCGCCGCCATGGCGGGGGGAGCCGGGGACATAGCCCGACCGGACACACAGGGTCCTTGAATTGAACCTCCATGGAACACCAGACGTCAACAGAGACTCCCGCCACTACACCACGACATGGGGGGACGGAAAAAAAACCGACATATAAGTTTTCCTGACGGCCCTATGAATTGCAAAAGGCTTCGGCATCTGGCCATCCATTACCATCGTCATCATCATCAGCATCATCATCAGCAGCAGCAGCTGTAGCATAATCAGCATAAATTTACGGACTTTTGGTCCGTGGCTCGCGAAAAGCTATGTGCGGCAGTACGGCCGTACGTGCACGCCTAAAACCGCCGCAGCCCAGCACCGTATGACGGCAAGCTGCCGTGGCAAGCTGGAGGGGGCATTAGCAGCGGACGCAGATGTAGCGGTGGGAAATGGGAGCTGAATGAAGATGAACACATGCATAGTTCTATCTCAAATGTGTGTAACTAAACAACTAGCAATGCCGCGCGTGTGTGTGTATGTGTGTATGTGTGTATGTGTGTGTGTACAGCCTGAACACTCCCCCGGAGGCCCCGACTCTCTAACAAATGACAAAAGATGACGTCATCATCATAACTCGCCCTCATCCCACCCATAATCTCATCTTAAAGCTGATAAGATGCGCCATTTGGGCCGCACGCAACCGTCACCGTCACCGTCATCGCCCCACTGTCATCAAAATACCAAACTCCCAAGACCGAAAAAAGGTCGGGAAGAAGGAAATATGCGAGACATGTGACTGGGTTGTGGTGCACAACCAAAACCCGAGCTCGAGGGATCGAGTTCCTTCTTGGACACCTTGGTGCCCTAGGGAATGCCCTAACAAGATATCACAATCCACATCACCCGCTGTCCTAGGACGTCAACCAAAACATCAAAAAGAAGCAAACAGCTGCTACAGCTCCTTATTCTGTTCCTGATTCGCGATTGCTGCTGCTGCTGCTGCTGCCCGCAGCGGCAGCTGTACCTCTCCCCGGGAAGGGGGGGCGGGAGGACGCAAGGGTGAAGAGTCTGAAGTTGCAGAAACTTCCAGTTGCAGAAACTGCTCCCGGTCTTGAGGGTCTCGATCGGGGGCGCTGGCCTCCCCTCCCCTCCCCCTCCCCCTCTGTCCTCTCAAGTCCTCTGCTGCTCAGACCTGCGTGTGTTGCGTATCGAGACACGCGGGAAATGAGATCCCGGAAGGGCCGTCCCGGGTGGGTGGGGGGGGGGCGGGGGTGGGGGGGGGATGCCGAGCGGAGGAGCGACAAAGGGCCGACAAATCCAAGATCCCCGGGATGATGACAACCAGGGTCTCACCCCGGGATGACAACGCATGATTGATGGTCACGAATCTGCAAATAATGCTCATAATGACGTGACAATAACGTCTGGATGGGCTTGCCTTCCTGCTCTGGATGGGCTTGCCTGCTTTTCCTCATCCACCAGCCCTTCCAGAGCACATACTGAAGTATCCTTACACCAAGCTCAATCAACCCCCAGATAAAGAAACCTTTCGAGGAACCTTTCGAGGAACCCTCGAAAACCCACACTGTGTCTCCCAGGCCCCGCCCTCCTCTCTCTCCACCCCTCTTCTCTCTCCATCTCCCCCCCCAGAAACCTCACTCACCGCCATGCCGCTCTGCACCCAGCGGTGCTTCAGGAGCTCAAAAATGGTGGGGCGGTCGCCGGGCGCGTCTGACAGGCAAGTCGCCACAAAGGCCCGCGCATCCGCCGAGACGCAGGAAGGGAAGTTGGGCAGACGGCGGCTGGCGTTGGGGGATGTGTCGTCCAGCGGCGGGGGTCCCCCCGGGAAGGGGGTAAAGCCCACCAGGATCTCGTACGTCAATACACCCACGCTCCAAATGTCCACGGCGGTGGTGTACGCCAGCTGGGCGTTGTTCTTGTTGTCCTCCGGGGTACGCTTCAACGGGCAGACCTGGACCTCCTGCGATAGTGGTGGTGGTGGGGGGGGAGGTGGGGGGGGGG